TGGTCCCCACTGGACCCTCATCATTTCCTTCACCTGCTCCCCCCACCGACCAAACTGTGCAGCTCTGCAACTGTATCCTGGCCCACCCTCACCCTTCTGCCCCCAACCCTCACCTCCTTGTACCCCCAATATGTTTTTCCCAATAAAAAAAAATTAATAAAAAAAATGAAGAAAATAAAAAACTCAGCACACATACTTTAACTGAAAATTCTAAATAATCAAGATGTGTATTACAGCACTTACAAGGTGCAAATCTTTTAGATGAGTATCATTCCTACTGTGTCTCCTGGAATTTTTGAGGGAGACTATTATAACACCTATTAAGTGCAGAGAGTTACTGAAAATTTTTCTAAAATAAATTCATTCAGATGATTTAACAACAGATTTTTTTCTGAATCAATTGTAATCTTTGTACTTCAATAAATTAAATGTGTTGAATTTTAACTTAAAAGCTAAACTTTAGATTTAGAAAAATATGCACAGTAGTAAAACTATTCAACTTAACATGATACTATCAACCAAAGAGCTGAAAGATCAAGTTTCACCAAATAATTTGAAGGATGATATGGATAAGGATGAGAATTGTATTGATGGTGTCACAATTAAGATTTTCTTCATAGTTCCAGTATGTCATGTTCTATGCTAAGCATGGGTTATTTTAATCAATCTTCACAACAAAACTGAGGAAGACATTACCACTCTACCAAACATAGGAACAGAAATTAGTAATGTTAATTAGTAATGTTACTTGTCTTAAATCACCTAGCTACAAAGTCATAGAACAAGGATATGTAACCTGATACCCTGACTTTATATTTTTTTTAAAATAAAATGACAAATCCTTAATCATTTCTTACCTCTTCAGGTAGTTCACTGTACATGGTTTCAGAGGTAGACAATAAAAATATAGGTGAAAATGATGGTATATCCTGTAGCAATGTCAGAAATGTTGCTCTCACAGTTTCGCTGACAGCTTCCCACCAATCACCAATGTGAGGCATGTAAACAATACTTGGTACTGTTCTTCGAGCTTCACGAAAAATCTAATTAAGGAAAAAGTTGGCATTAAAATACTGAAATTAGCATTATTCTAAATTCTATCCACTAATCTTTAAATAAATTAAATATGTTAAGCTTACTACTGTTATTAGATTCAGCTCAAATTTTTTTATTAATTTTAATGAAAGTTTACAGAGACTTAGGGTTTCCATTAATTCACTTTTGCATTTTTCTCCCTATTCCCCCCCACCCAATTCACTCTTCGCCTTGAAAAGTAAAACTCTTTATTGTTATGCAATCCCTGCCCCCAAGTCCACTCCACTGTGCAGCCTTCATTCTGGACTCCTGTCATGACAATAATACCCAATCATATATCCCTTTTTAACAGTTCTCTCCCTCATCTGTTTCAATTCACCTCAAATATTTAAGTTATGACTCAGTGATTCCCCACAGCTATATATGCTTGTCCCATTACAAAAAAAAAAAAAAAAAAAAATTGCTTTTGCTGTTACATTTTTCTATTCATTATATATTAACAGCAAAGGTACTTACTATATTGCTCCACTTACCTATTACATAAATAATAAAACAAAATACCACTAAATACTCTGTAAAAAATAAAGCAATAAAAATCCACCCATCTTGTACCCATGAAAAATAAGAAGCTTTATCCAAAGAAGAAATGGAAGATCTAGTTATTTGTGCACACTCTCGAAAATCACTCAATGAATGAATTAAACATTTCAACTGAGGTATGCAATCCTAAAATTTTAAATTAATGAACTACCTAATGAGTCACTTATTCCCCCTCATTTTCTTATTTCAGTCTTTCATGAGCTAGTCATAAGGTATCTTTGCTGTTCTGACGAGCAATAAATAAATTAACAAAGAGTTCTGTCACACATCCATTGACAGTAAATACAAAATGAAGATTTTCTTCAGATGTTAGAGTCATAACCATAGTTTGAATCTGACTCAGCCAACATATGCCAATAAAGACCAGCCAGTTAGAAAGCTGCAAAGCAAAACTACTCTCTTTTAAGTACATGTTAACAATTTAACAATCCATCAATGAATTCTCAAATGCTGACTTTCTTAAATATTTTTTAACAAGTTTAAAAATGTGAAAAAAAAAATCTCTGTTCTACAGTCAATGTGATTTAAGAATCCTATTCTTAAATTCTCTTATTACTATTTTAATGTAACATGTTCTTTATTAAAAAGTCTATTGCTGTAGGGAGCTCTGGTACCCTAATGGTAATAGCACTGGCAACCCAAAGGCATACAGTTCAAATTCATAGAGAAAGATGAGTAATCTCAACTGTCTCTGAAAACCCATCAGAGGGTCAGCTATGGGTCAGTGCCATCTTTAGGGTGTACAACAACAACAACAACTGCCATAGAGCAGATTCTGACTCAGACTATGTAAAAGAAATCCTCAGAGCAAACCAGTTACGCAGTCAGCTGCTAACTGAAAGTGCTAATCCAACCAAGAGGTTCTGTAGGAGAAAATCTTAGCAGGCACTCTGGTAAAGATTAAAGCCCAGAAAAAGTCCTGTGGGGCATTTCTGTTGTCACATAGGTCACTCTGAGTCAGAATCGACTCTACAGCTCCTAATAACAGGTGTAATATGTAAAATAAAGGGATATGAATTTAAGATTAACAAGAATTGAAACTATCAGGAACATTCCTAAGAACCAAAAGCATTACTTCTTTATAATGGGTAAACTTACTACATGCATGTATCTTTACAATAACACATTTTATACCATTTTAAGCTTCCTGTGTGAAAGTAAATACATTGTCAGTTTAATTAAAAGAATAAAAAATGTTCAAATAGAAATTTTCCCCAATGTTAGGAATGTTGATGTTATGATCACTCACATCCATAGCAGTATTTGCCCCTTCCCTTAATGCTTGCTTGCATATCCACCAATCCAGAACAGTTGTACAGCACAACTCTTTCAGGATACACAAATGTTGACCATATCTAGAAATATGCACCTCTTATCATGGATCCTAAAAAAATCCAAGGACTTCCTACTGCCAAAGCACCTATATAAGATTCTCAAGAGAAAACTAAACATAAATACTGGCAAAAAGAGGAACCAACCACAAGCACAAAGCCAAAAGTTTTTGCTCAATTAAAAAAAAAAAAAAGTTAGGTGCCACCCATATCAGGCATGAGGATACGTGGAAGACAGCAATCTTTTGTTGCTTTCCCACAGCCACTACATTCTAATAACACTAGGCACATCAGCAGGAAGAAAGATGTGATTATATGAAAAAGACTAAGTGTATCTATAGCTTTTCAGAGAAACCGCAAAAAATTAGCCACGTAATTCAGCCATGCAAACTACCACATGCCCAGGGCACTAAACAGATTAGAAACCAGGCCTTCTAAAAATGAAATTTTGTCTGTCATTCTTGGTTAAGCTTTTTAGGAATCTGTTTTGAAAACATGAGCACAGTTACACAAGGAAGGATAAAGTGATTAAAAGTTTTCTAGAACCAAAAGTTAAAGTTTATTGGCAGGGCTAAACTAGCTAAAAGCATCACAAGTTCAAAAAAAGGTGGTCTGGGTTTGTAAGGTTTTAAAAATTTCTTCCAATTTTCCCTAAATTGAGCATGATTACTACATTAACCTTTTTCAAAGTTTTTAGGAATGTGTCTTTCTTCATAGACCTTTTAAAACTGTATCTGACAACCTAGACAAGGGGAAAAGTGCTATATGAGTAAGGATAAAGACCAAGGCTTTCTAATAATTATGATCCATGGAAACAGATCTATGAGTTAAGAATTCCAACTGGAATTATTATTCCAAAATGTTCCAAAAGAACAAGTTAATCTTCATTAAAAAAAACAAAACAAAAAACCTTTAATCTTGTCATAGTATGTAATATACCAAGCTGAAAACCAGAAGAATGGCAGTTCAAATCCACCAATCCCTCTAAGGAAGAAAGATGGGACGTCTCCTCTCAAAAAGATTTACAGCCTCAGAAATCCAATGGTGAAGACTTTTTATTAAAGAAAGTACGAGCCCTTGGGAGTACTATGGTTAAGGGAAGGGGGGGGGGGGATTTTTCTTCCTATCATTGCTTGGTTACTAACCAGAAGTTCAGTTGTTTAAACTCCCAGCTGTTCTGTGGAAGAAAGATGTGGCAGTTGATTCTATAAAGATTACTGGCTTAGGAATCAAAAAGTGTCAGTTCTACTACTTCTCAGTATATCTCAATGACACAGAAACAATTGAACAGTATTAGTTTTGATTTTATTAAAGCCAAGTTTGTTTGATTCCTTACTGTATACTACCTCAATACTTTAAGATAAAATTTCAATTTTTCTTTAAACATAAATGCAAAGTTGTCCTAATTCCCTAGGTTTTTATGAAAGTTTTAAAACAATAGAGACTTAAGAATAGAATTTCAGAAAAAGCTCTTAAAACGCAATTTTTTAAAAAAATTTCACTCCTAGCCGGAATTTTCTGTTACTCTAAAAATAGCTCCTCAGCAGTTCTGTAGTGACTTTTAAAGTTGTGGAGTAAGATACACTCTGTGAACTCAATCAGATAATCAAAAATAGAAAAATAAAGTCTAGTTTTAGTGAAGCGGCAACTGTTTTGGGAACAAGTGATGCCATTTGATAACTAGAAAAATACTCACCTACAGGGTCTCTTGGATTGGTGGATGTGCAAGGTGTAGTAGAAAACAGAAAAACTGTTATAGAGAAAAAAAGACAGTAGGCCAAATTACTGAACCAACCGTTTCAAAACACCTCTGACATGACCAGCACTCTTGCACAAACAAAATGAACAAACACCAAAATAAGTGAACTGTTCATTTTTATATTTCATTAAATAATGCACTCCATTCCCAATGGTCTCTTTCTTGCCCTGGACATCATTGTCCATTAGATACTGATTTTCTTTTAAAAAAATTGCTTTATCAAAGAAAAAAGTAAACTTCTTATGAATACCAAATGATTGAAAGGGAAAAATCTGTTTATTGAAATTAGAAGGAAAATAAATTACATAAACTGTAGAAAAGTTCCATTCCTCTCAAAAGTTTAAGTTTAAAATTAATACTTTAGCTGTCATAAAAATATTAGATAGCTGAAAATTAGGCATATCTTTTAAATGAAAAAACTTTAGCCACTTTCTTCAAAATATTAATTTAAACACAAAGTGTGACTAATGCAGAAAACTCTAAGTCAATGTCTTTCACTGTCCTCTAAGTGGTTATACAGGAAAAAGGAAAATAAGTTAATAAAACAAATGTACATTCAAAAATCAGTTACTATATACCATCATGAATGGGATAAACAAAATTTCTAAAATAGTAAAAGCAAAATCTAGATTGCTAAAAGCATTCTCAATTGTTATTTATAACAATTTAAAATTTAAAGACCTAGTAAAACGAAATTTTACAATTCCTTATTCTATACTATCATGAAATGAGAACTTATATACTTTTACTCTGTGTGACTTATTTTTATCACTTTACTCCATTTATATTCAGTGCAACTAAAACTTAGGATCATCTTTGTGAAAAGACATTATATTGATTCCACAGAAAATTCAAAAAGTAAAGTATCTCACTTTACATACATACAAAAATCAGGTTGTAATAATCTACAACTACACTCATTTCTGAACTAATATACTGAATTAAACCAATAATATAAACAAATATATAATAAAAATTAAATAATCCAAACTTTCTTAAGTTATTTTCTAAGGACTTCAAGTTTCAAGGTGATGTATTCTAGATCAAGACTAATTTGCTTACAACTTAAAAAAAGTTAAGTGTCTCTCCACAGAAAAACCCAAAACTTGTATGTACAAACAATACATGCAAAGACTAAAGTGAAACCCAAAAATACAGAAAAACACAACTGTGTCTAAAGTACACATACAGGTAAGTGTATTAATTCACTAATGCTACTTAATCAAACAGAATTTTCCCAAGAATTTTCTGTTACAATCTCTCTAGAAAAAGATAAATGCTAACAATTTCACACAAACACACACATACACCAACAACA